GTCCCTGGAAGTGTTCAAGGCCAGGTTGGATGAGGCTTGGAGCAACCTGGTGTAGTGGAGGGTGTCCCTGCCCATGGTGGGGGGTTGGAACTGGCTGATCTTTGAGGTCCCTTCCAACCCAAACCATTCCAGGATTCTATGAGGGACCGCAGTGGGCGCACAGCTCACCCCATACCTTTATTCTTCGACATTTTTTAAAACCTGCTCTCCCCGGTGCTGTTCTTGTCCAGGAGAACGTGGAGTTCCTCATTCAGGAGCTGCGGAGGCCGAAGTACAGCATCTATTTCATTTGTGAGTATGTCCCGGTCTGTCCCGTGAGTCCCGTCGGAGACCAACCTGATGTTGGGTAGGAACCAGGGATGGGAGACGCTGTGTCTGCTCCCGCTGCCCGACCTTTGGAAACACTGAGAATGTGGGAATTCTAGTTTTTGTGCCCTTTAGATCACCAAACTCTTTTAGCAGAGGGTACCTACCTATAAGATAAAACAATTAAACCAAAGCAACTCGTAAGAGACCTTCACAAAGCACCACCGTAAATCCACATTCCTCCGATATGCCTTATCCTTGAAAATTTCTGGGATTTTAAAGCTTCACGTTGCTTCGTAAAGATAAAAGAAGGCTAAGGCTTGGGGGGTAAGTTGTAAGGAAAATTGAGATGCACGGGATGAGAGACTGGCCCAAATCTTGAAGGTAAATAATTCCGAGAGAGGATTAGGGTGGACTTGCTGCACGGCATCTTCTGGCGTTCCTCACGCGTCCTGCTCGTGCCACAGAATGTTTTGTAGTTTTGGAAACGAAGCAGAATAACTCCAGTCGGGTTTGTGTTGGAGTTTGGCACAGGTGTGACGCGGGGAGGTTCTGGGAAGCTGGCCGAAGTCGGCCTCTAGATGTCATTGCCGTTCTGCAGGAACGCAGCGCCGCGGAGCCGGGCTGCCGGAGGGACCACTGGTTTGGAAAGGGTGGTGGTGCACAGCGACGCCGCGGAGCCCCGGCGAGATGTGGGTTCAGCCGTGTGATGTTGCGTGTCTTTTACACGTATGAACCTGCTGGCTCCGAGTGGGCTCTGCGCGGCGTTGCTTGTTTGGGCCGGAGGGGAGGACAGGAGGGAGCCACCGCCGCGTCCGCGGGGTGTTTAATCCATCGCTGACCATCACGTGCTGGGTATTGGCACCAAGAGGCAGAAGGTTGGCCAGAGGATTAGCTCAGAGTATCCGTGTGAGGTCACTTCTGGATTATAACGTCTGTGTAAGAATCCCAGGCGTGAGGTGGGATCTGCTGCAATCTGCTCCGGGGGAAGATCTGGTACTGCTACTGGAAGATCTCCGTTGGCGGAGACGCGGAGTCGGACTGTTCTTTCACTGTTGTTTCCTTTCAGATTTCAGTAACGTGATCAGCAAGAGTGATGTCAAGAGTTTGGCGGAGGCTGATGAACAGGAGGTCGTGGCTGAAGTTCAGGTGACTTTTGGGTATTTTAAATAGATCTCCTAATCCAAAAGCACCAGCAAAGCAGACGTACGAGCTCGGATGTGGTGATGGGAGGAGCTCCCTAGTTCTTGGACAGTATCAGCACCACCGTGCAACAGTCTGGGATGGAGGAGAAGCTGAATGTACACGTGGAGTTAAAAAATTAAAGAAACTCCTGTTCCCCCCGGATCTCCCTGCCCTCCGGTTGCCGGAGCCGCTGCTGGTTCTGCCGTCTGCGTGTCGCGCGGCTGCCGCGTGTCGGTGGCGTTGACGAAGAGCAACGCGCCCCAAGAACGCGGGCGGGGATTTGAGAGGTTCGGCACGGAGGAGGGAGGAACGGCCGGAGTCAGGGAGCCTGGGAGCTGCTCAGGATGCCATGGTGGGCCGGGTGAGGGTGGGCAAACACGTAACTATTTGCTTTCACCTCCTGGCAGGAGTTCTACGGCGATTACATCGCGGTGAACCCGCACGTCTTTTCTCTCAACCTCTTGGGCTGCTGCCAGGTACGGAAAAAGCTGATGCTCCTCCAGGGCCTTGTTTTATGGCTAGTAGAGAGACCAGTGGCCACCACAAGCCGGCTGTGGGGGTGGGTTGCCCAGCAGGCAGTCTGCTAAGGGGAGAGCTGATCCTGATGAATTGGCATGGAGAGGGATATGGGGAGATCTGGATTGTAGCCTCTGGTGTGGCTGCTCCTCCAGTCAAACCAGAGCTTACTGTGGGACTTTAAGACTTAGAAGTAAGAGTTGATGCGAGGAAGAGTCTGGGGATGGTGCGTCCGTGCGAGATGCAGCTTTTCCTTCCAGGGTCGCAACTGGGATCCGGCTCAGCTGTCCAGGACGACTCAAGGGCTGACTGCTCTGCTCCTGTCTCTGAAGAAATGCCCCATGATCCGGTACCAGCTCTCTTCCGAGCCCGCCAAGAGGCTCGCTGAATGCGTGAAGGTGCGGTGAGAACCCGCAGCCGTGTGAGATCAGTTTGGCAGCGTGCTTTAGATTTTGTTTCCTCTTTGGACGTAGCGACCCGTTTGAGGGAAATGCCCTTTCTCAGCCGAGGCGTGTAAGTTGTGCCATTCGCCTGCCCTGCCCGGCCTCGGGCACGTCCCATCCCTCACCTCCACCTGCTGCCAACCGAGGAGCAGGCGAAGAACCATATTTCTCATGAGTGTCACAAAAAGCTACTGGTGATACTTATATTTTCTGACAGTCAGAAAGTTCAAGTTACCCGGTGCCTTTTGCGAGCAGGTGTTATTTCTTCGTTAGCAGCGTCGACGAAGGCAGCAGCACAACTTATTTTTCACCAGCTCTTCGCTTTTATTTCACCTGTACCCAGACTAGGAGGAAACTTTTCCAGGGGTACACGGGATCAAGTGGCTTTTGTTCCTTTTCTCGACAGCAAGTCATCACTAAAGAGTATGAGCTGTTTGACTTTCGGCGCACGGAGGTTCCTCCTCTGCTTCTCATTCTGGACCGGTCTGACGATGCCATCACGCCGCTTCTGAACCAGGTGAGTCACCTCGTGGTTGTGCAAGGGCTGAGACAGGAGTGTGAGTTCTGGAAGTGCCCGGAGCCCCGTGGCCATAGCAGGCTCCCCCCCGTCCCCGTGTTCTTTTTGAAATCCCTCTTTCATCTCGTGGCCCGGTTTTTCCGACAGCTGAGCAGGGATTGTGTGCGTGGATGTACCAGCATCCTGGAGAACCAGGCCCTGGCGCTTCTGCAAGACACACTTTGCCTTTGGAGCCCCGGTGTGCTGGCAGTGCCCGTTCCCAGGGTTGATTTGTGCGGGCGGCTCAGCAGCACACGTACCGAGCGCCCCACGCCGGTGCATTTCTCCCTCTGTGGTATCGATGAGCCGCAGTATTTACCATGGAGCTACTGGGATATTTTTTTTTCTCCACTGTGCTGCAAATTCTGGCAGAATCTCTTTGTCTCCATTCATTTCTGGGGGGTATGCTTAGACACAGGCTGGGCTGGGGGT